AGCAAGCCAGAACTCAGCTCAAGACTTTCTGTATGCGTGTGTGTTCTGACCGACTTTGACTGGACTAAACATTCAAACTGACGTTTGCTGTGGCAGTAAGCTTCGTCTGGCAACAAGTCATTATATTTCTGTGTTGACTGAAACCAGAGGCAGAAAACAACGTTCTTTGCTGTGCTCCCTATTTTCTCTCACAAGATGTAAATGACGGGGATTATAGGAATCTTTTGGCATTTCTAAACAAAAAATTTGTTCAAGTCAAGAATTGTTCGTTCCTCATTTAAATTTGAATTTGAGGAGTGAAGTGTAAAAAGATTTCCTTTATTATATTCCATTTCTCTTGATATCCCTTTGTTTAAAAAAATGTTTCATAACTGTTGTAAAAAATGAAGTTGATTTAGTTTGAGCATTTGCACTTAACCACTTAACTGATGCTTTTGTCCAAAGCAATACACAAATGAGGTTCAGTTCATGCCACAGCAGAGAAGTAAAATGTATCACTGACAAAAAAAAGATGTTGCTTCAGATTTTGAGTTTCTACATTTTTGGCCAGCCTCCCTTTTTTTTGGTTATATTGTAAAATGTTAGTAGACTGATGTAACCGGGGTGGCCAATCCAGACTGTGGGGGTGGCCGGTGCCACCCCTGGCCACCCCCTGGATCCGCCTTTGTCTGTAACAATTTAAATGTGTTTTCCTCTTTTCAACCTGATTTTCATAACTTAGTTAAGGGAAGCTGCCTTTCAATCTGATGGGGTTTTGGATGGCCTTGCTTTTTTATTTTATTTTAGTGACAATAGCTGATAGAATTAAAGTTTTCATCTTTGAAGTTGTTTAAAGTAAAACAATTCACAATTTAAAGTTGCACAGGCTGTGAAATACAATTAAAACTAAAGCTACAGCAACATCAAAGATTTCTTGGGAAACTACAGATGAGTGTCTGATTGAGTGGGTGGTACAGTGTAAAAACTGGCAAACACTGTTTTTGTGAGTGCATACAGGCCCAGTGTACGTAGACCTGTGTGTATCCCAGTGTTTGAGGGGATATGCAGAGCTGCAGAAATGAGGCATAGCGCTGACTGAAGCTGCCAGCCTCTCTGCTTCACACAACTGGCTTTTCTATCAGATAGACAGCTTGACAATATCCAGACCCTGCTCTTTCCACTATACACAAAGTCATGGCAACACATATACACACACAAGCACATACACACGTGTATACACACAGCTTCCTGGGTTTGTTCTGCTTGTTTCTGGCTGGACTGTGTTGCAAGATAAAAGTGAAGTTTGTAGCTGAATGAGTCCAGTAAAGTCTGGTCTCTTCAGCCCTTTTCAAACATGGGATATGCAATATCACTGGCTTCATTACTCTGTTGAAATAATGGCTTTCTGTCAGTCACTTTTACAGTAATGTTCCTCATGGCTTCATTCAGACATACCCATGACATCAAGAGCTACAGCCATGTGCAAGATCATGGTATTCTTGTGTGTGCGTGTTCTTTCAGCCTTCTGCCGTGCAAAAAGTGATACATAAGTGTTACTATGTCCAACCTAGAAAGATCGCTATCACGACTTTTAAGGAGAAGTGTCCAAGATGCACGAAGCTAACACATTTAGATGCTGTCAGATTAATGGGAAGGAGTGCACGTCTCAAAGGGGCTTCAGACAGGCCTTCAGTGTGTCTGGTATAGTTGAGAATTTTGAGGCCCACTGTGAAATCATATCACAACATAAGAACGTATCATTTAAAAAGCCTACAAAATGAATGAATGAGTAATGAACATTAAGATTATTCAGTGTCACTGGGATGTGCATCATTTATCACTGGCCTGATCCCTAACAGAAGTAAAGGCAGTTTTACTTTGGCTTGATTTTTTTTTTTCTGTTTGTGAAACAGTAGATCATCTGTATTGTTGACATTTGGTAGCGTGATTGTCCCATAACAGCTGCTTCTATCCACAGTTCATCTCCATATTTCATTGAATCCTTACACTGTGACACACACATACAGTATGTGTGTTGTGCATGCACGCACACACACACACACACACACGCACACACACAGAGATCCTCACAGTGTCTTGGTAATGTCATTACTTTCGTCTGACCTAGATCACAGATTCGTAGCTCCAGGGCTTTTTCTCTGCTGCCTGTAGAGGAGTTCTTTCATGTTTGGCCTTAGTGATCTGCAGATTTCCTGACACCAGGAGGGAAGGATCTACTGGGTATCTTTTTCTCTTTGGAAAAAAGCACAAGATGCCCCTTTTTGTCAGGCAATAAACGAGCTATGCTATGCTGTGCTGGCTTGTAATGCTATACTTTCTCCTCAGGGTAGTAGCTGCTCTAAGTGTGTGCAACAGAAACAATTAAATGGATAGACTATTCCCAGAGAATTTTACTATTGTTTGTCTTGTTTACTCAGGATAAGGCAAACTCCTCCTAACAATACAGTAGTTGAATTCAGCAATAAAATGATCTACTACTGGGGCTGCAACTGATTACTTTCCTTATTGATTTATGTGCAGGCTATTTTTTAGATTAATTTGATGAAAATGTTTGGTCTGTGAAATGTCAAAATGAGTGAAAACATACAAAAACTATTTTTAATGTATTTGCAGCCATTTATTTAATTAAAATTAACAAATAAATGAGACACGTTACTGTGAGAGCTTTGTTCTAGCTTTTGAAACCATTTAGACCCCCCACAAATTCAAGAAATCAGTGCCAGGTATTAAACTTTCACCACTGTAGAACAATTATTTAGCTACAGTTGACCTCCTTCATTTAACACACCTTTACTGTAATCTGTAGATGCACAAGAAAGTAGGTTTGTCTGTGGCTGGTTAAGTAGACTCAAAAGTAAAGTTCCCCAGAGATCACACTGACACATAAACATGTAGACATTTATTTGATCATGCATGTTTACATGCTGGGGCAGCACAATGGTGCAGTGGTTAGCACTGTCACCTCACAGCAAGAAGGTTCAAACCCTGGGGCCATTCTGGGTGGGGTTTGAAGGTCCCTCCTCATGCCTGCCTTGGTTTCCTCTAGGTACTCCAGCTTCCTCTCACACGAAATACTTGCAGGTTAGACTAATTGGTGACTACATTTTCTGTAGGTGTGAATGTAAATGCCCAGTTTTGGCTGGGATTGGTTCCAGCCCCACTGCGACCCTACAGGATAAGAGGTGGATAGATGGATGTTTGCATGCCTGCTTAGACTTGCTGGCAGAGAAACAGTATTTTAAGCAACTTGATGCATCTCTGATGCCTTTATGATGTGTGTGTGCAGGGCTGCTCGCTGTGTCTTGGAGCAAGGCTGGTTGCCTTCTGCTCAGATCTCAGGTGAGGAAAGGCCTGGAATCACTCATCCTGACAGCCACATCTGGCGCTACTTTCTCTGTCCTGTTGCCCTCAACTCTCACTCTGCAAACGGACACCACTCTGATTTAACCGCAGAGGGAAGGAGTTATGATAATAGCAGTTATGATAATAATGTTATTTGTGGTTATTAATGAGATGGAGAACAGACAGTTTACTCAAGAGACATACACTCCCAAAGATAGCTGTGTGCAATAAAACCATTGTTACTGCTAGCATTTTTTTTTTCAGGCTTTGTCTTGCTATTGCTGGCAAGTGAATTAATGCCAGGTGGAACAAGCACTCTTTCTGCTCTTTCTATTTGCTCTGTGGATTGTACATAACCACTGCCCTATTGAAAATAAAGGCTTACAGTAAATGCTGAATAAAAAAAACACACATTTGAGCTCAAGCATGACCTAAAAAGCATTGTTCAGTGTTCAGATGTGTTCTGACTCTGATTTAATGCCACACATTTGTATTCCCACATTTATTTATTAAATATTAGAATATTAGAGAACCTCACACCTTTTAATAGTTTGACATCTCAAAAAGAGTATTCTCAAGTACACCCAGGTTTACTCTAACCTTGTTGTCATTTCACACTGGACAGAACTATCAGTTGGTGAGCTCAGTTGTAACCTCTAGCTGGTCTTCATCTGTATCCTGTTGAACCTAGGAAGTAAGGGTTGGAGTTCAGGGTAACATTTACCTTAATAGAATGACTCCAAACAGATTAAATTTCAAAACAAGAGCCAGAGGTTTCCAAGAGCAGCCTGTAGCATTAATGTATAAACAAACACTTCTGGCACTGTCACCATATGCCAGCGTCCGTGACAGGCCCTGATCCTTTACTGCACAGTGAAAGGGATGTGCATTGACAGAGTCAGCAGACAACACAAGTGAGCAGTCAGCTGCAGAACAGAACGACCCTGTCCTCGTCACTTTGAAGAGCACATCACCACAGGAGTCCATGATGGGAAAATCAGTCTGCCTGGATTCCCACTGAATGTAGCTGAAGACAAGACTGTCATGTGCACTCGCAAGCACAAAAGAGTACCTGTTGATTGCGCAATAAACCCCAGAGGCAGCTCGCAGTTTATCCATAATGCACTACATGCAAATTTTCCATACTCACTAATGCTGACAAATTAAATTTTTGATAACTTTATATGTTAGAATTCCCTGAGGTTGAAGAATTTATTGGAAAGAGTTTGTCTGTTTAAATGGACAAAGCTAGTGTTTTACCAATTATCTTTTTTATTTCATGATCTTTCCTTAGTCTTTCTCAGCACTGAGAACTTGTAAAGTACCTTATAGTATACCCAGTACTGTCATTTAGCTTTTACCCAGACTTGAAACTTGACTGAATGACTAAGCTGTTTTTGTTTCAACAGTGACTTATATATTTTTTAAGATATTCATTAAAATATACAGTAACACTTATTGTACCAAGAGCTCTTGAGTTCCAGATATGGCAGGGCAGTG